ACCTGGTGCGCGCCGCCAAACCTCAGAGGAGGAAAAGGCACCCATAACCTTCAACCCTCCCCCCGCTTTCCCCTGTTTGGGCTTCCTGGGAGGCCCTCGTCGCCACCGCTGGATTCGCTTCGAAATCCTGGTCAGAACGCACCCCGGGAGAGGGCCGGGGGGGAGTAGCGGTATCGGTACCTTTTGGTCTCCCCAAAACCATTCCCGCGTTTTCGCCTTTTGGGGCCTCCTTGGACCCTGGCTTTCGCCGCCACGGATGGATTCGCGGAGGTACCCCGTGCAGATGGCACTCCAGGAGACGCCTGTGGAGCAGCGGCGTGGGGACCCCTGACCCCCCTTCCCGGTTCCAGTTCCTCGCGATGCGCATGCTCTTCCAGCCAGGATACTTGACATTAGCTCCCATGCCGGGCGCTGCAGAGGGGAGAGTTTATCATGCGCCAGGCTGGGAAGAAAGAAGAGCCAGAAACAGTGGCCACGAGGAATTTCAGCGGTGGAAGATAGTTTGTGTTGTCACCGATCTGAGTGCCTATGACGAATTATTTACAATGTTCGCGTACGGGAGTTCGACTCCCCTTGCCTAGTTCGAGGGTTGGTACGTATTCTTTGAACTCGTTTCAGTTTCTTCGATTGTGGAGACGAGCCTGGATGAATTTGCGAGATCCTATAGAGCATCGCAGATCCTATAGAGCATCGCAATGAGAGAAACACGAATGACAATTGCCGAACTTTTGAGACGGGAGGTGGCAGCTGGCGAAGGAGTGGACATTTGAGTTGCACAGGAATCTCGCTTGGATGGCACCCTTCTTGTGCCGAAGTTGTGGGTGCAGGATTATCCCGTGTTTCAGATCTCCTCCTCGATGCCCATCTCCATCCCCCCATCCTCCCACTTCCCCCTTCCTCCAACAGTCCTTCCCGACTTCTCCACCCTCGTTCCGCATCCCTCCCGTCTCTTCCCCGCTCAACCCCCTCCCCCCTCACAGTCAAGACGCTGCCATAAGGACCAGCGTCGGCTTACTAGGGGCGCTGGTTCTCAGGCCGTTCCTCGGATCTGGGTGGGTCCTCTTCCTCTCGGGACTCTTCCATCAGGCTCCCGACGCATTGATTGCTTCGCAACTTGAAACCCCTGGAGGTCGCGAACCCCTCCACGGACTGGCCTGTTATCCAGATATTTGTGCCGATTGCACCGAGGTCTGGCAGGGGTCCCGAGGCGCCGAACACGGCGCATGGGTGTGACCGAACCGGGGTGTGAACAAAAGGGCCTCGAGGAGGCCCTCAAGGGCCGCTTTTTGGAGCCAGCAGGGGCCCAAAATGGAGCCCAGAGGGGCCCCTTGGGGTCCCTTCCTTCACCCCCCGTCTGGGTCACCGCCCATAACCCGTCGGTCGTTGGAAGTAAGTATTTGGGATTGCCAGATCCGAATCTACTTCGAGCGCCTTCTTACTTCAAGAACCGACATGGTGTTGCTGTGTTTTTGTTTTTCTCTTGGCGGGCCCGGTCCCAAATCTTCTGTATCCGCCTTCCCACTTCATGCTTCCACCCATTCCTTCCGACCGACATGTGCCACCCGCCGGAAAAAGAGCCTTCAGTCGCTCGTTTCTGGCTGCATGGTTCGGTAGGGTCCTGGGCACCTCGGCGACGCGACGTGAGGAGTGACGACACCTGGCCGGAGGAGACCATTTCTTTATTGCTTGGGGCATGACGGGCGTCATGGCCCCCGCTCCCCCCTCCCTCCCCCCCTATGACGTAACGATCCCCCCCCAGTGCGCTCCGGGCTCTGCTGCCGTGCACGCTGGGATCCGCGTAGGTGTCCGCGTAAGAATCCGCCTAGGAGTCTGGTCCGTCGTCGTCGTCGTCGTCGTCGTCGTCGTCGTCGTCGTCGTCGTCGTCTTCGTCGTCGTCGTCATCACTCGTGGCTCGCTCGTCGCTCATCGTCGTCGTGCGCACGGACGCGGTTGGAGCCTGTTGTTTGTTCCGGGCCGATCGCGGCAATCATCTGAGGGGGTGTGGAGGGGGTCGATGACATCATGTTTCGCGCCGGCGGCGTCTGGGAATGCGTAGGAATGACGGAGGACGGGTAGCGCCAGCATGTAGGCGGCGATCTGCACCACAACGCCTGTGTACACCACAGTGCCTGCGTGCACCACAGCGCCTGTGTACACCACACCGCCTATGTACACCACGGCTGCCGCGTGCGACACTGCGTCAGTTTGTGCCACCGTGCTCGCGGGCACAACAGCTGTTGTGTACACCGCAGCGCCTACGTACACCACATCAGCCGTGTGCAACACAGCACCAGTGTACACCATAATGCTTGCGTGCATTGCAGTGCCTGTGTACACCACGGTGCCTGTGTGCACCACAGCAACCGTGTGCAACACAGCGCCACGCTTACATATTGAATGTTAGAAGGAATCCGTATGACAAAATGGAGCGCTTGTGGATTCCACAAAAAACAATACAAAGCAATCCTTATGGACAAAGGAGCGCCGCTGGAATCTACGAGTTCCCCCGAGTCCGCCCGCATCACCCTAACTTCTCCCATCTGCGTCCAGGAGGCTCCAGCGAAATTGGCCGTGCGAGAACCAAATGGACCGATTCAATAAACCATTATGCGGTGCACTGCGCGCTAGATTGCGCACGTGCGCTGTAGCGCCGCCCCGCACGACTGGCGGTAAGGAGGAAAAAGGAGGAAGAGGAGGAGGAGGAGGAGGAGGAGGAGGAGGAGGAGGAGGAGGAGGAGGAGACGGAGGAGGAGGAGGAGGAGGAGGAGGAGGAGGAGGAGGAGGTGGAGGTGGGGTTGGAAGTGGAGGAGGAGAGAAGAGGGAAGAACGTCGCATTCGGTTATCAGCACTGTCCTGCACGCAGGCACTGGTGTACAGCCGCGCTGCGTTGCACGCGGATGCTGTGGTGTATACAGGCGCTTTGGCGTGCACAGGCGCTGCGGTGCACGCAAGCACTGCGGTGTACACGGGCGCTCTGTTGCACATGGTTGCTGCGGTGTACACATGTACACCGGCGCTGTAGTGTACGCAAGCACTGTGGTGTACACAGGCGCTGCGTTGCACACGGTTCTTGCGGTGTACGCAGGTGTTGTGGTTTTCGCGCGCGTTGTGGTGCACGCGAGCGATATGTACAAAGGCGCAGTGGGGCATATCGCCACCTACATTTTGCTCGCGTCGTCCTCGTCCTCGTCGTCGTCATCGTCGCTCGTCGCTCTTCGCGTCGTGCGCGCGGGCGCGGCTGTGGTGCCGGAACCACACGGCGGGGGGGGGCGTTACATCATCCCCCCCCCGCCCCCCCCCCATGACGCCCGTCATCGCCGAGCATAAAGAAACGCTCTCGTGGTGCGCGGCCTCAGCAATCAGGAGCGAAAGCGAAAGAAGGACGTACACGTGTATGAATCCAGGTTGGTTTCGAGAGTATTCATCGCGCGAACGTTCGGATCACGAAGCTGGTCTCGCGGATTGGGGGGTCGCATTCATGTACGCGGTTGGGCGCGCGCGTCTATTCTGGGCTCCCGAAACAAGAGCCCCGAGAGGTGCCCAAGGGCATTCCGGGTGGCCCCAAGACGGCTCATTTGTGCTCCCCGATGCCAACGTTCAGATCAGGAGCGAAAGAAGGACGTACACGTGGGGCCTCGGAAACTTGTCTCAACAGGGGGTGCGAAGCCACTCGGGGACCCCTCCTGCAAGACCCCGTCCCCGAAAACCCCCTTTGGAACCCTCCGATCCGTGCTCCCCGATGCCCAGCATTCGGCAGGGCCCGCCTCCTTGCCGCACGAGGTGCTCGCCGTGCCACCCCCCTCCTCCGGACGGGGCAGGAGGCGTGCGGCGCGAGCCGCCTGCTGCCGCGCCCGCGTGCCAGCGCTCGGCAGGCCGAGCGCCAGAGGGCCACCTGCTCGGGCGGGGCCACGGCACTCCTCGAGGTCGGTCGCCCCCCTCGGCACCCCCAGATGCCGAGGAGGAGGAGGAGGAGGAGGAGGAGGAGGAGGAGGAGGAGGAGGAGGAGGTGGCGAAGGAGGAGGAGGAGGAGGAGGAGGAGGAGGAGGAGGAGGAGGAGGAGGAGGAGGAGGAGGAGGATGGTCGACGCGCGAAGCGCGGCCCACGGGGTCAGAGTTGTGCGTTTGCAGTCGCCAACCTGCGGCGCGGACACTCCAATTCTGGGGTCCTGGGGTACCGCCCAGTCATGGGAGACGCGTGCGTTTGATTTCGAGAGGGGGTGCAGGACGAGGATCAATCCGTCCCAGGGTGTTCGCGGACTCTTCCAGAGCGTTCCGGAGCGCCCTGCGAGAAGGCCGCGGTGCTTGAGACATCCTCCCCAAACCGCTGCGTCTCAGAGACTTCCGGGTTATCCCCGTCTGGACTTATCCGTCCTGGCCTCGTCCTTCCTGGTCATCTGCGTCCTGGCTTCGTCTTGACTGCTGCGCCCGGGGCCGCTCCTTTGCGCGTGGAGCCCAGAGCCGCCCGGGGAGCCACAAGCTCGACCTTCGGGCCCATCGAGAAGAACAGGACCGCTCACCCTGACAGCACCATGAAGGCGTACGGCGTAGCCCAGGTCTTTTTTTTGGCATGAGGGATCAGAGATCTGGGCGGTTTGGTTTGGTGCACCTGCTGGCAAGCTCCCTGATCCCTAATGTTTGGGCCTCTTCACTTAGGGTCGTTGCCACATGCTTAGGGGGCCCTGCGTTGCGATCCGCCTTTCGAGGCGGATCCGGCCTCAGGCGACGACGAGCCCCCCAGAGAGGATCCCCCCCAAGCCCGAGGGCGCCCCGAGAAGCGCAGATCCTGGAAGATCGACGGGCTCGGAGGGGTCGTGCCCTTTTCCCTCCGCCGTCGGCACCAGGCGGTCAAACGTGTGGACCCCGGGACCCAGCCTGGGATTCGACCCGAACGGAAGGGGGGGATAGGGAAAGGGTAAGGGGGGGGGTACGAAATCAGCTACGTGAGCTGATTCTCTGCCCTGCCCTCTGCTACCCCCCCCCCCCCCTATCGTCCGGCCCGAG